GGCCGTGGAAGTTACCTTTTTTTCCTACCTTCTCAATGTGATGATTATATTTTCCAAACAAATTAAAGGATTTAAAAAAATGCAGATGTTTTCTTCCTCATTCTGTTTTTATTTTGCTGATCCTAGGTATGTGAATATCCAGATGGAACCAAGTCTTTGAAGCTAGGAGACTTTGGACTGGCAACTGTGGTTGAAGGACCTTTATATACCGTCTGTGGTACACCCACATATGTGGCTCCAGAAATCATTGCAGAGACAGGGTGAGGATGACTGACTAAGACATAGGTCTTGTAAGCAGTTATTTTTGGCAGGTAGCACTTAACTCTTGTAAGAACTAGAATTCTCTAATAGAATGGGCCTCCATCTTTTTGTAACCAAACCACCTATGAGAAAACAGGCATCATTCACTTCCTCAAAGAGGCCAGTTTCCTCGCTCACCCTGCTCCCAGAATTCACCTTTGTCTCCCTACCATCTCCCTAGGACCAGCGCTGGTGCAGTGGAGTTTATTGGTTTGTTTTCCATGCTTCACCTCACCATTCAGAGCCCATTGTACCAGCTGTGGCAGCTGCCTGGGGATAAATGGACAAGCAAAACCCAGGGTTCATGTTTGAAACTGAATAATTTATATTGGAAGAGACTCTAGAGGTCACCTAGTCTAAACCTGTTCTTAGAGGAGGTCTAATTAGATCATATTGATTCAAATGACCTTGTTTGGGTGATGCACGCTATTTGATAACTATTGGTTTAATTAAACAATACCATTTTTCTGTATTTAACTGGTGGTTGCATAAATACAAAAAAAATTTTTTAAATGGCAGAATTTCACAAGTCGTCTTTCCTTTTAGACTTATTAGACCTCCATTCCATCCTAGCTGACTCTTGCCATAGCTGTGACCATTCTGAATTTGGTCTTCCTAATGGAAGGAGGTTTGTTGTATTGTTTTTTAAGCATTGTTCAGTGCATTTGTCATATTGAGAAAGACTTCACCGCTGCAGTGAGCTCGAACGTCAAAGGGCACTTCATCTGCACATTTTAAATTTTGACAAACTGAGCCTACTGGATAGAAAAGAATAGGAAAAAAGACCTCTTTTTGACTTTCAGTGTTTTAATTCTGTGCTTTAAAAGAAAGGTGCAGTTCTTTTTTCCCTGTGTTACTCAAGAGACTGGAGAATTGGTATCTTTCTTGTTGCTTAGCAACACATGATAACCTTAGAGATAGTAACTCCAATGTGGGGACTGAGAAAGCACATCCTTGTCTTTTATCATTAATGATTCTGGATTGGGAAACCTTGATGCTGAATTGAATTTGAGTATATTCGGAAGACCCTGGAGAGCCTTGAGGCTCATCAATTAAAAATTGTGTCATCACTGTTTCCTAAAGACTGTGAAGAATACTAAGCAAAATGATGCTTAGGTACAAAGTACATTTCCACATCATCAGCAAGTAACGTAGAACAGATTCTCAGTATGCATTCATGTTAATGTAATCAATTGTTTGATTGGAATGACTTTTTTTTTTAATCCAGCACAAGTAACACAGTCTTGTTTTCTCAGATATGGCTTAAAAGTGGATATTTGGGCTGCAGGTGTGATCACATACATATTGTTATGTGGATTTCCACCTTTTCGCAGGTGAGTGTCCTTGTATGTCAAAGGGAAAAACAGTAAAGAAGAAAGTTCTTTCTGAGCAAGTCCTACTTACCTCCCTGAAGAAGGCATCTTGAGGAAAAAAAAAATGGATTAGAGTCACACATTTTCTTTACCATTTTGCTCTTCTTTAAACTTGTTTTCACTTGTTCCTCTTGTCAGGTTTTGGGATCAATTTTATTTTCTTATTTGCTAAGGGAGCAACCGATTTAGTTCTGTGTGCAGGGATATGGTGGTGTGAGGGCAGTTTTTATTTTCCTTTTGTCTGCCGTGTATATCCCAGTTCAATGAACGTGTATACTTTGCCCTCTAGTGTTTCTGTTTGGACACAGCAGCTTACTTACTGGTTTGTAGTGTGGAGGGTGAAGCTTAATGATAAACTGAGGTGAGGGGAAGAATTTGCTTATGTTGCATTTTTAACCTTGTTAATCTTTTAGATTAGTGTCATATGAGCAATGGCGTTTGCAAACATGGGTCTTGCTACTCACTGTCACAATATGTATGAGGTCTACTAAAAAAGCAAATGGATGTGCTTTGTGCTTCAGCAATTTTTTTGCCAGGGAATGAGAAGCAATTGACACATTTTAATAAGGAATTCTCCTCTTAACTTATAAGTTGTTTGTGCAGTCTGTTTGTCCATTTTTACAGCAAAATACTTAGTTTTTAACTAAAAATTACCAGACTGAATATTTTGCATAGAACACAACATAAACAATTGTCAATGGAAAAACTATAATTTAGTTTAGGTACTTGTTTTTGGCATGTTCATGTTTAAACTGAAAACATGTTTTGAAAGATATGTTATACGAACAAATGGCAATTGCTTTGAATAGAGTTTGGGGAGGGGTGGGCATGGAGAGTGTCCATATCCATGCTATTAGAATCAGGTCTTAGCCAAGGTTAACAAATATTTATGCAAAACCAACCCAAGAGGTAAATTACAGAAATAGGTTGGGTGGATGTTCACAGTGGCTAGGGCCAACAAACAGAGGTTAAAAAAACAAACAAAAAAACCCCTGCTGCCATTGATCACTGAATATTCATGTTACCATGTTTTTGATATGAAAGTACTTATCCTTTCAATAGCAGCAGCCTGCCAATACTCAGTAACTGAATGTATCATGCATTTTCTTTATCTCATGTTCGGATTTTGAAAATTCTCCTGTTGTGATAGTTTACCAGAAGAGGCTCATTTCACTACAGTTCATGCCCCTATCACATGCTTTCTGTAGCAGGTCCTTTAGAACTAGGCTGGCAAGTGACTTACTTTTTAATCACCTTTCCCCTTCCTGTATGTTAGCTATGCAGTCTCTATTCCAGTGGAAGTCATTTCACCTCAATATATAAGTTTTTTCTGTTCTGATCACTCATGACAGCGTTAATGTGGCAAACACCTCAGAAGTGCTGCCGCTATATAAACTTGCAAATTATGCATTTATAGCAGTTAATATAACATCATATCTGTTCCATCCCCAAATCAAGTTATAAATGCACATGACAAATGACTTCTTTCTCATGATCTTTTTCATTACTGCTGTTCTACAGTGAAAACAACCTCCAGGAAGACCTCTTTGATCAGATACTTGTTGGGAAGCTGGAATTTCCCTCTCCCTACTGGGATAACATCACTGATTCAGCAAAGGTACTGATATGTTTTCCAACCTGAAACACTGTTTCTGACAAGCCACTGAAAAAAAGACTCTGCTCTCCTGGAAAGGCAGAATAGAAGATTCAGAACAGATTCTTCCCCCTCTTCCAGTTGCTGTGCCTTTTTAGTTAGTTAGCTTAGCAATGCTTGATGAAAGCTCAGCTTTTGCAAGCCATCATGTTATTGTCTGAGTAAGTGTAGCAGAATGCCAGTTGCATTCAGTGAACATCACAGGCTATTCAGTTTACTTAATGATGGACTATTATAGCAGGTTCAGTGCTTCAGCTGTAAAATAAGTGTCTCTCTCTAATTTTTTTCCTCTTTTTAAAAAGAAAAATTATTGCTATGTGGACTGAATGCAATTGACATAATTTGTTCCTATTTTACTTGAGCCAGTTATTAGAACTTTTCAAGAGGTTCAGCCAGGTTGATTTGCCATTGCTTATAGTTCTTGTGTTATCATTACCATTTGTGCTTAAAATGATTGTGTCTGTAGAGTAAAGGTTCCAATTTTTTAGCCCCACTTCGCAAGCTAATTCAGTAACATGCTCTGTATGATATCTGAGGACTCTGATTACCAAGTGGACATTATTTGTTATCCAGTCAATGAGAAGTTCCATTTTTTTCTGCATTTCCCAATGGCTGTTTATCCATTTGCCAATGTTTCCCAAGCTCCAGTCATCTCACACTCTTCCAGACAGGCATTCTGAACAACCAATGTCCTCAATCTTGGTACTAAAGGTGACCTTTCACTTCAGACTTACACAGCCTAAATAACTTCGCTGGTTGGGAAACCTCTCAGTTAGGTATGTTGTTACCTGCTTGAAGAAGCCATTTCCCAAAACTGAAGTGGTGACCAATCTCTTTGAAATACTCCTGATAAGAATATGAAGACTGACAATTTGGAGGCTATAAAAGGTTTTTCGAGGGGGAATTTGGCTCCAAGTACATGAATTTGTTAATTTGGGAGGGGGACATATTTGTCTTAATAGGCCCATAGGCCCAGGACTTACACGAGTAAACTAGTTGTTAGTTGCATAAGAAAAAACTTGAAGAAATAAAGAACTGAAGAAAGTTGGTTTGGGTTTTGTTTTTTTTTTTTTAAATTTTATTTTACTGATTGCTTTGTATCAATGACCTCTTAAGGTTTATTGTATCTCTCTGCACCATTAACAGAAGGCTCATGGAAGCATTTGATAAAGCTAAAGACATCTGCTCTAGTGCATCTAAAATATGATGAAAGCCACAATACCAAATATTTTGGGATTAACCATATAATTAGTAGAATTAAGCCTTTTTCTCTGTCTATCTGCTTTTTCGTATACCAGCTGATCCTTAGCTGATGAAATGAGTTAAATGTCTTTTTAAATGTTAACAGTCTGGAGCAACACAGAAGAGAACATAGTTTTCAAATAATTTCAGCAGTTTCTTGAATTTCAGATGCAATTTCTTGCCTCTGATTTGTGCTCTTTATGGACTGTTACTATGTGCACGTACACTGCCCGTAGAGGATCTCACCTGTCCCAGGTTTGTTTTCATTCTGGTCTCCTGTATGAATATACAGATAACAAATTGGCACATTACAGCTGATTTTTATTTTTTTTTAAACATTTTCTTTTCATCTCGTTTCAAAAGACTTGGTGAAACATGAATACAATAAGGAAGCTGATGTGAAATATTCTGTCTTAAATATTTTTAAAACTAAAGGGCAAATTTTTTGTTCCACTAAAGTCACACTGGTATCACTGGTTCTGGTACCAGTATAAGCTGATTTTTTTTTCACCCAGGTAGCAAGAAAATTTCACTGAAAATAACTTGGTGCAATAATATTTTCCAATGTAATATCCTTCCCAACTCTCTTCAAACTCTTTTTTTTCTTTTTTTTTCTTTTTTCTTTTTAATAAAGGAGCTAATTAGCCTGATGTTACATGTGAATGCTGAAGCCCGATATACAGCAGCACAGATCTTAAGCCATCCCTGGGTGTCAGTGAGTAAATTACATTTTACTTTTCTCTAATTAGATATTAGATCTGTAAATCTAACCATTAAAGTGTAGTTTTCAGAAGCAGCATTACACTTCTTCCACACGCATTTCTGTTTATTGAACCACTAGTCCCATTTCCACATAAAAGAGAACAGCAAGAGTCTGAAGTTAGCTTCAGCTCTGACAGCACTGTTAGCTTCTGTGCTCTGAAAGAATAGAGTGAGGGTGTCGCTTGCTGACTGTGATTAGAAGGTGCTGGGGATTGCTATAACCCTGCTTAAACATAACACAACAGACAGATGTGTGACTTGGGCATCTTTTTTGCTATTTCACATTCAACCTAGAGAACAGTCATCTCAAGAATGTGTACGTGGAAGCACTGTTTTGCATGTTGGCATCTTACTTGCTGCAATGCTACTTAAAGTACAATCTCCTGCTTCTTGAAGCACTTCAAGCTTCATAGGAGAAATAAAATTAGCAAATAAAATACCTGATTTAACATAGGCACTAAGCTGATGGCAACGGAGAGCACCAGAGTGCCCTGTTTATTGATTTAAAATCAGTTCATTATTAATAAATACTAGGTTTATATGCACATAGTCAATGTTTATTTCCACACACATTTTAAAAGAGGGACTATGATCTATGGAGTTCCCTCAAACAAGAGAAGACAACTATAATGAGTGCATCTATGCATAACAGCTCTTCTCAAATGTATTTATGTTACTGTAAAATGTTTCCACACTTAGGACATGATGGACCATTTAATACAGCTTATAATTGTGGGACAAATCAATGGATTGAAAGTATGCAGTGTCACATGGCATTTTAAGAAATAGAAGTTCATACATAAAACATTATTTTCCTTTGTAATTTGTCTTAACCCATTTGAACTATATGTCAGAGTGCATTCACTTTTGGGGTGCCTGTCTGAACATTTACTTCACATTAAAAAGCAGGAAATACCGAAGGATAGTAGAAAATTTCTCTTTTACTCAGTTACATTCAAACATACTTTTGGTTTTTTTTCCTAACTTGAATACTGTGTTTATTCTTATACAGGATGATGCTTCCCAGGAGAATAATATGCAAGCTGAAGTAACAGGTAAACTGAAGCAGCACTTTAATAACACCCTACCCAAGCAAAATAACACATCTGCTGGGGTTTCTGTCATCATGGTAAGAGAAATGAACATTTTTATACATCGATACTATACTTTGCTATTTTTCTTAACAGTGCTCTATGAGCATGCATGGTGCAAGAATAGCAAAAGCAAAGCTAGAATAGTCTCTAATTCTAGTCTTTATTTATGTATAGTGTGGATTGTCTCATCATCGCTTGAGAGCAACTGATTCTATCACAGTGTGCTAGCTAAGCTATAAAAACAAGCTTTCAAACAGAAACATGTAAACACTAAGTAGTTGTATGTTGAAAGAAGCTTATTAACGGTTTGAAATCTTTCATTATAAAAACTGTAATTTTTTTATCATACTGACCATCTAGTTAGTTAAGTAGGCTCTTCCCCCCCTGCCCGACCAAGTATTGAGCATACTGTTGTTCAACACTACACTTGCTGGGAAACCAGACTCCATTTCAGACATTTTCTTTGTCATCTTGAATGTTTATCACATTAATTTTGTCTAACACCTGCTATGTTTTTTCTGTTCCCTAATAGGGAACTTTCTTCACAGCATACAAAGGAACCCTGATGGTCTATAGCTGAACTTACATAAACAGTAATTCCAGAAGGCAGATGTGTGAATCGTGGTAGAAGAAATGGAGTTTACTGTTATCAGTACTCAGAACTGCACTTGTAATTGACCAGTCACTTTTGCAGAGAATATACAACTGCTATAGAGACTGAACTGCCTTTCTGTTCTTACTGTGGTCCATTCTTGTCTAATGCAAGGATGGATGCTGCTCACAAAGAGTACCTTCAGTTACTAAAAGAAAAAGCAAGCCATTTATGGTAGTAACATAACAGTGATTTCTACCCCCCCCACACCTCTCCCAGTTAGTATTACTTACTCTCAAAGTCCAGCCCACTTATGTTAACAAAGAATTGTTTTAATCATCCGAAAGGAGGTAAATGTAAATATTGTTTCTGCATACATATATGCTTTTCCAAACACATTTATGTGAATTAAATAGGCTAAAGATTTAAATATAGGAAAAGTGGTAACATAAAATTAAAAATGAGAGAAGTCAGAAAATGGATTTCAGGTTCATGCTGTTGTCTACATTTCATTTGACAGCTTGACTTGACAGTTTGAGAGGGACTTCAGAGCTTCATTCTTTATACTGTTGAGACTATGGATAAGCCTGAAGCTGAAAACTGGTATAAAATGCACTATATGTAATAAGAGCAATTTTAATTCTAACTCTCAGCCCCTCTCCAACTTGCATGGCACTTAAGCCTGTCTCAGATCTTTGACACAGCATAGCTTCTGGCTGCTTTTATTGGTGTGGGTTTTTTTCTGATTCTGTTAGCTACTGACATTCCTTCAGCCAGGAAAGTACACCTCGTTAAAATTTTTCATTTTCCCTTTTCCTGCCTTATTTCCTTCTAACAGGTATGGAAGGATGTAAATGCATAATTATTTATTTCTGAATGCAGCTTCCAGTTATTGCTGAAGGGAAAAGTAACTTCTTGTTCAAAACCCTGTAATCTAATGAAGGTTAAGCCCCCAATTTGTTATTCTTACCCTGGTTTATCTAGAGCATTGAAATTTAGTTATCTTCATGTTAAGTTCTTCACTTGTACTAGCACTCATTGCTTAAAACCATTCAGATTCAGACAAGCACAGTATTGTAATTCTCATGTATTGCAGTGCATTGCTATATCAGTACACCTGCATATTTAATGGAATCCCTTTTAGCATCACTTCATTCAAATATTGTCATCTGGCCAATGCAGATAATACCATCATGTGGCAGATAAGTAAAACTGCACATACCTACTTCAGTGTTCTTGCACAGGAGACTCTGCCCCTAAAAGCATGTTGCTGTTAATTCATTACTGATTTTTTTTTTGTTAATTTCAAATGTTCTGTAAATCTAACTTTGTTGCAATTGTGTTAGTTCTGCTTAAAGTAAGTCTAGTTTCTGTCCCTTGCTTCCTTCCTTTTTCCTCCTTTCCCAATGCCTGCATTGCTTTCCTCTGAGTAGGTCCAAGGCAATGGTACGTACTAACTGTGATGCTTTGTTCTGCTGCACAAAAAAATACATGTTCTTCATTTTTAACAATAAGAAAGGAGAAATAACACAGCCAGTCTGAAGTGGAAAGAGCTTTACAACCACACAAAAACAGTAAAGGAAAATAGGAAAATCTTTTAAACACAAAATGTTTTCTGTGCTAAGTGATGCATATTTGAAATACTCTAAGCAAACACTGATATAACTAGCTATTTTTCACTCCCTCAGACATATCTTGGTCTATTCCCCTGGGAGTAATTTTGTGCATGGGTGTACCTTACAATATCCAAAAGCAATTAGAAAAAGATGGTAATCCTACAAAGATAGAACCAAAAAACCTAAAACCGGCGAAATAAGCATTGTTTCCATTTAAAATAAAAATTTTAATTGTCACTTCAGCCTTTATGGCATCACAGAACTAGTCAGAAGGTAATCAGTCCTAAATTAATAAAAAAACATTCTTAGCAACAGTAAAGTTATCCCTCCTCTTCAATCTTAAAAAAAAAAAAAAATCCTAAATTGCATTACATAGGTATGTATTGCTATGTGCAAGGTGTGACAACTATCAGAGGCTACTGTAAGGACAGCACCAGAGAAAATCACCGTCAGCATGAACTGAAAGCATTTCCCTTTCCTTTTAAATAACTTATCCTGCCACTGAAATAGTAGCAACCTGTTTATTTACAACTCTTTTTCCAGGAAGCAAAAGAGGAAATGCAATCCTGCCAGCATAGCAGCTACTTCAATAATGATAAAACTACTGCACATCATAGCTAATGTCAAAAGCCTAGATACAGTTCAGCTGGTCATTTCCTTGCATGCTCCATTTGCAAAGTCAATTGTTAGTAGCACAGAATTCAATTGTGTCCTATTGAATTTTCTCCTTGTTACCTGTATATATGCAGACTAATGTTGTAACATGATTAAAAATACTCAACCAACCAAACCCCACCCTAAATTCAAAATACTTAACCTTTTCTTGTGGGAACTTTTATACTCAGTACTTTGGTCTGAAAAAGCCTGGCAGGAAGGCCTGGTAGGGACGAGGGGAATCATGAGGCTGCTTGCTACCTTCCCTGCCCCACCACACAGTCACATCATTGTACAAAATAGAATAGTTTCAGCAAGGAGAGTCTGACTGAGGCTGATTCAAGAATAACTGATTCAAGAATAACCCACCATTTGCATACCTGCAAATTCCAGAAGTCCTCTGTTTGAGAAATTGGAGATACTAGTCCAGCTCTCTTTGCCAAGTCAGGTAGAAGAGAAATTTGAATTCAGGTACCCCATAATGAAGTTAGTTTTCACTACCAAGCTATAAGAAGGATAAGTACCTTATTTCTGCTGTCCTCAGTGACTTTGATGCAATAAACCACATCTGAGGAAACCAAAAAAAAAAAAACCCAACGTGCTAAATTTAACTTGTATTAAAAAAATATTTCGGTATCTAAAACTACATATTTTGGTGGATAGTGTATTAGACAAACTCCATTAAGAATACATAGAAATTTTCACATTAGTAAAGCAAGTCCTCCTGAACAATCAATCAAAAAAAGAAATTGCTAAATAAAAGGCAGAGCACCTGACCTTACTTTACAATTAACACATCCCAGCTCAAAACATGAAATTCCACATAATAGTGGAATAAGTATAATGTAAGTAAGCATAATGCTTACACATACATATGCAGGGAGTGTCACAAAGGTGAAACGTATTTTTTTTTTTATTCTGTTCCTCAGTTCAAGTATCATACATTTGTGGATTACTGTAGAAAGCCCAAGCTGTACATGGCCAGAGTAAGTGTACCTTGCACTATTCTACATAACTGAATAAACTACAAAGAACTTAATTAATCTGTATTAACTTAAATCTGTATTACCACTGGTACTTGAAGCTCTTCCCCAAAGTAAATAGTTAAGCAAGCCAAGTAGTATACGGATTTATGATGATCAGCATCAGCCTTCAAACTGTGAAACAAAACCAATGACACTTTCCCTCCAAGTCTTATAAAGCAATTTTGATATATATTTTTGACACAGGAACTACTAGATTTGCCTCTACGTCACTTCAGACATTCCACTAGCAATTAAACATTACAGTTTAATATAACAGTATCAAAAAAATCAAAGTTGTTGGCTTCAGGAGACACACCACATACTCCAGATAATCCACTCACTGCACTATAGAGTTCTCAGTTCTCATTCTAACCTGCTACACTCTTCTCCAGTAAACTTATTTTTAAGTATAGTATTCAGAAATTATGCATTTTTTGCTACTGCGTCAGCTTCATGAGACGTCGTTTGCCTATTCTCAACAATAAGCAGAAAAATAGACCCTTTAAGATAGAAAAAAAAAAAATCGTTAGGTTTTTTTTCATCTGACATTTTCACAAATACACTTCTGTACCATGTGGTTTGTTACAAAAAAATGTATTACTAACTTTTCACTAAGCATCATGTGATTCCTTATGTCTGCAAAAACACAGGTACATAAATTTTGCTAATAGCTAGTATGAAGAGATCCTGCTATAGCATAACCACTCATGTAATTTATTTTTAAAATTTTTTTTTTCCCACATCAGACTTGCAAGACAAGATTTTAAACTTGCACCATCATTGCAAACATAGGTCTGGAAGATAAGTTTTCTAAAGTCAGCACCACTAAACACTACAATTATATATAAGATTTCTCATGTTATTTCTCCTTTTTTCCTGGCTCAATGCATGCACTTAATGTCTTGTAGATTGTTTTAACCCTTAACTGTTCTTTTCATATTTTGCCTTGGGGTTTTTTTGTTTGTTTTTAGAACACAGCTCTAGATAAAGAGAGTCAGATTTTCTGCAGCAAGCGCTGTCAGGACTCTGGTAGAGCTGGAATGGAGAAAATTTCTGCAATTGTTGCTGCAGCTGATGATCCTCGTGTGGCTGGGTCCAAGACCCTCTTCCCTGCTGCTTCTGAGCCACTCAGATCCCCCACGGTCCCTGCCTCAGTATCTCCTGAGTTTGCTGGGGATCAGCCTGGTGCATAGGACTGATGAAACCAAATCCAACTGAAGCTCCCTGCACTCTTGCCACAATTTGTCTTCATTTCACACACCAGTTTGTTTGCAGTTTGCGTGCACCCTCTCGTGACGAGCCCAAGGCAGGCTCTGTCATGGGAGACTGATCTTCTAATAGTGGGCGAGCGAATGTGCGCTTTGAGTGCTCTTGGCCCTTGTCTTGAGAACAGCAGTAGGGGAAAGATTCTGGCAATATGTTAGATGATTTTTAAGTTATCTGTGTTAGTTTAATTAACTGCATTTCACACAGCCTTGGGCTCTAAATAGACTAACTCTGGTGTAGCTAACCATATTTTTATATGAGCAGTGAGACAATGAACAGTTACCTGGCCTCACCTCTATAAGCAGGCCCTGTTCTGTTCTGATGAGGATTCTCAGAAAAGTGGGAAAGGAAGACAAGGGAAAAAAAAAACCAACTTATATTCACCTTCTATTCTGATGCCTCTATTTTTAGCCAAGTTTCTACTAAACTTGAAGAGGCAAATTTTCACAAAAAGAATTTTTTAGTGGACTAACTGTAAAATATCATGAGACAAACATTGGAGATAGAGGGAAGAATGGTTGTTTTTGCATCAAGTTTGTTACATGACTTGCAGGCTGCAGGGTAGTGTTTAGATAATATGAATTTAAATAAAGTGACTTGGGATGTAAACATGAGCACTGGACATTTATTTGTAATGAAGACTGGAGTCAAGGAAGCCTTTTTGTTTTAGCCATTTTCTATCCTAACCACAAGTGTCCCATTCATGCCTTTCTCCAGGATCAGACTACCTGTTAGATAAAATAAAATGACTTTGGACCTGTGAACGGAAAGCCTGCTGCATGTTATCTGAGCTAGGATGAATGGAGCAGCTCCTAGTTCTAGGGTGAGCTGGTAGAGAAGCTACTACAAATAGCTGCCATCAATAGCTATCAGAGGTTTGTCAGTGCTATCCCCCTATTCACCTGGTGCAGGCACTGGAAACAAGGATTGAGGAGCAGCTATCCTTAATCTGCAGTCACAAGATAGATGAGGTTTTATCTTTACCATAATGCTTAGTTCAATAGTATGTATTCAGCTTATTCTTTTCCTTTGCTCGTTCTTACGAATTGGTCATAGGTCATTTTCTTTCTTAGCTATACTTTCTACTAGAATTGTAAAAGAAAAACCTGCAATAAACTTTCTTCATTAAAAGAAAAGTCACTCATTTCTTTGAGAACTCTTTTTTTTTTTTTTTTGTCATCTTATTCTCTCTGGAGAGACTGAACAGTTAGGTACCTACCAAAAAAGATTTCATAAAAATTATCTGAGGGATTCTGTGGAGTAGTGTCCAGTTCTGAGCTCCCCCGTTCAAGACAGACAAGGAACTACTGGAACATCTCCCTTATAAGGAAAGGCTGAGCGTGCTGGATCTGTTTAGCCTGGAGAAGAGAAGACTGAGAGGGGATCTCATCAATGCTTATAAGTATCTAAAGGGTGGGTGTCAAGACGATGGGGCCAGACTCTTCTCAGTGGTGCTCAGCAATAAGACAAAGGATAACAGGCACAAACTGGAGCACAGGAAGTTCCATTTGAACATGAGGAAAAACTTTACTGTGAGGGTGACCAAGCACTGGGACAGGCTGCCCAGAGAGGTTGTGGAGTCTCCTTCTCTGGAGATACTCAAAACCCACCTGGACACAATCCTGTGCAACCTGCTCTAGGTGATCCTGCTTTAGCAGTGGGGTTGGACTAGATGATCTCCAGAGGTCCCTTCCAACCCCTGCCATTCTGTGATTCCCATAACCTTTTGCAGTTCATTGACTCCTATGGAAGACATAGATAATACATGACTGAACATAGGTGTTTTACCTTTTGAAGAGGTAATTAAAGATCAGAAAGTGCCAACTGATAACTTAAGGCCATGGTATAGCTGAAAGATGTATGGCATCTTGGCCAAAAAAAAGGTAGTAAAAGTATGAAAACATAGTACATGTCTTAAAGTGTGATAAAAAGGTTGGGCTACAACCAGTCATTGTGAATTAACTTTGTTATGGGTTCACTGGAGTAAATTCAAGATATTTGGAGACTATGAGAATGGCCTTTGTACAAAATTCTGTCCATTTATATTTTGGTACAGTGCAAAAATACGAAGATAACACTCTAACTTTACTTGGAACAGAAACAAGCGAGAGCCCATAAGCTAGACGTGTGCAGTTGGTAAATTCTGTAATAAGTCTTAGACTAAGCTAAAGAAAGGATGCATAATTTCAGACAGAGCAGGCTAACCAGCCACCTACAGCAAGGAAAGGGAGCCCCTGACAGTAAGACCACGACAGACTACTGAATTGGGAGATAAGAGGGAGCAGCAGCAAAGTGATGAACACTGTGTTTTCTGGTTGTTTTTTGGTTTGTTTTTTTTTTTTTTTTAAGAGGTAGGATATTCAGCTGTGCAAGGCCTAGGTATTTGTTTTACGAAGAAAAAAACCTGTCATGGATTAGCAGCCATATCTAACAAGTTGTGCTCCACAAAACGTCATGCATATATAAAAGAAAGGATGATGCTGTGCCTGGTCATCAGCTCCCAGTTCTAAACTATTGCTTTGCCTCATAGAAGAAGACAGTAAAGACATACATACCCTGAAATTATGTCCCTAACTTCATGACTGATGAACATCCACACCTTTCTCCAGGGTCAGACTACCCTATGGTAAGTATTTTGATTCACTGAGCAGTTGATAGACTGTGCCAAAACACCTATTTTAAAATAGTGATGACAGCTGGAAAAGATGATCATGGCCAACATAATCAGATAAAAACATGGGACAGCTTGGCAAGTTCTTAACTCCCTGTATGACCTTAGGAAAGTTGTATCACTACTCCATGCCTTAATTTAGTTCCACAGATGTTAAATCTCTGGTTGCATAGGTGGTATGTTTGTGATGCTCAAGGATCACAGTTTAACATAAAAATGAAGACATGTTGGTTAACACAAACACTTAATGAAGACTCGTAAGTATTATTAGATTGTTATCTACTTATTATATAGATTGTTATCTACTGCACTTTAAATTTAATCCTTCTCCATTTGTAGAACCATCAGTTGCTGGAGGAAGGCAAAAATAGAAAAATTGTAAAACAGAACTATGCTATCTACTATAAAGGGGAAGAAATGACTATAGAAACTGTAAACTCAAAGTTACACTTTTGACAAAAGAGGATTGACACCTTTTTTGTTAAGTAGCTGACATTCATAGAATCATAGAATGGTTTGGGTTGGAAGGGACCTCAAAGATCATCTAGTTCCAACTCCACTGCCATGGGCAGGGACACCATCCACTAGACCAGGTTGCCCAAAGCCCCATCCAACCTGGCCTTGAACACTTCCAGGGAGGGGGCATCCACAGCTTCGCTGGGCAACCTGTTCCAGTGCCTCACCACCCTCCACAGTAAACAATTGCTTCCTAATATCTAGTCTAAATCTACCCTCTTTCAGTTTAAGGCCGTTACCTCTTGTCCTGTCACTCCATGCCCTTGTAAACAGTCCCCCTCCAGCTTTCCCGTAGGCCCCTTCAGGTACTGGAAGGCTGCTAGGTCTCCCCAGAGCCTTCTCTTCTCCAGGCTGAACAAGCCCAACTCTCTCAGCCTGTCCTCATAGGAGAGGTGCACCAGCCCTCTGGTCATCTTTACAGCCCTCCTCTGAACTTACTCCAACAGGTCCATGTCCTTCTTATGTACCATTTTGATAAATATTGATTAAATGCCATTTTTTTGAAAACACTCACCAGTGACAGCACAACTGCTATCATGCCTACATTTAAATTATTATTTTAAAAAGTCTTTTTAAAAATTCCCGCTCTTTTTAGCTCTTTTGAACATGAGTAGTTGTTCACATATCCAAATGGGGCCTATTCCTGCAGTTCTAGATTTGAAATCCCAGAACTGAGTCCTCCCCTGCTGTAAATCAGCACAACACTAAGTTCACTGAGATTCCCATCAAAATTTACCCTTACAGACAATTACCCCCATTCTTGAACTCACAAAATTAATTACAATAATTGTCAGAATACATTAAGGTAGATGGTGTTTCATGATGACGTCACTTTCAAGTAGTGGCTCACGCTTACAGCTGGTCATTGACAATATTGACGTAGGTCAGCAAATCTTACTTCGGACCACTTTAGTAATCCAAGATTACTAAACTCTTGGGTTTAGGTGCAGACATAGTTCCCCTCCCATCTAAACTGAATACTTGAGGAAGATAAGCTAGGAGGAAGTAATAACTAAGACTAAAACTAAAAGATTGCAGGGTAATTTTTCCTAAATTAAATAAT